CCTAACTATTTTTCAGCAGTTATTCCATCCTTACCTCTTTTCTTCCAGTTGGATTTATGGGTAACTGCTGTCAAATTAAGCTAAAATGCTCCTAACTTATGAATAACTTGTCAGGTAGTGCTTTGAATCTTTTTTGTGGATGGTATACTGTGCCTTACCGTATGCCTTCACATTGTGGGAAGAATTACTGACACAGTGGGCATGATGTGTCTTTAGTAACACTCTTTATTTTTTACTTTGAATAACTGATGTTTTCTACACACAAAACTGAAAATTTTTCAAAGTAAATTATGGTATCATGGAATACTAAGTGTGTTTTTATTTATTAAATTTAAGTTCAATATTAATGATTAGATATTAGGAAGGCATAGTTTATGTTTGGATTCTCCTGTGTGATCTTTTTGTAATTTGTAATTTTTATCTTTATTCAATATTTCTTTTTTTCATATTCAGTTGCATTTTTTTCCACCCAAATTGAGGGTAAAGAAACACTAGAATTGAAAGCATTAAATATCAATTCATAACTTTTTTCATGCCAAATTCTAATGCCATTTGTGCATTTATGAGCTGCCTACAGACTGCATCATTCACTGTAATAATTATTTCTACAGCTAAATCCTGTGACTTTTCTAGTTCCTTTTCTTAAGTTAAGTGAATTTTATACATAAGTAGTCAAAAATTTATAAAAATTTCAAGTGTCTTCTTTTAAATTTGATCATAGATTATTTTATAGGTGTTAATTTGTCATTGCTGTATCTATGGTATGATAGGCATCATCATTGCACATATATATGTCACAGTGGTAATAACACAAATTTAGTGATATAACCAGAAGTCTGTTTATTTACATACAGTTGAGCTGGGTTCTCTACATTTAGGGTCTTAAACTCTAGTCAGGTTTTGATTGGGGCTGTGGTCTCATCTGAAACTTGATTGAGCTTTTTGGCAGAATTCAGTTCCTTGAAGGCTGCTGAACTGAAGGCCTCAGTTTGCTACCCTGTGGCCTTGTCATATGGCAGCTCACAACTTTGCAGCTTGCTTTAGCAAAGCCAATAGGGAGAATTTCTTATCACAGGTATTACTTTTAGATGATGTAATCATGTATACAAAATCATCTAGTCTCTTCGTTAGAAGCAAGTTGCTGATCTTATCCAAATCCAGGGACATGAGCATCTAAATTGGGCCCATCATATAGTCCATCTACCACAATTTATTTGCTATATTTTAACATGGGATGAATGTTTCTCTTAATGAGTAATTTGTACTATTTGTTTAGACATAATGATAACTTAAGATTTTTAATTTTTCTAACCAGATTCTATTGGCCGTGACATTCCCAAAATGCTTGAATTATTTAAAACTGGACATGAAATTAAGGTAGATGAAGAAAAGGAGAACTTTCTCAAGACCATAGTAGCAACAGTAAGTTACAGTGGAGGTTATTAAATAAACCTCTTTCATTTTTGCTTACATATGTCTTTAATAATTGATAATATACAGTCTTTTACTGTTACTAGTGTTAGTAACGGCACTAAATATGCACATAATTTGTTTGTTCTCTAGATTGAACTCATAATTTTAAGGTGCTTAAGAATTCCTTCCCTCCAGTGCGATATGCCACTCACTGACATTTACTTGTATTTTGCTTTAGTTGGTGATCTATTCTATGCTAATTATCTTTGCTTAATAATAATATTAGCTTAATAGTTTAAGCTTATTGAGTCTATGATCTAGATCTTTATGTCCTCTAAAGAACATTGCATAAAGCTCAACTCACAGTAGGTGTTTAATACTATTTTAATGGTGTTGAAGAATTTGCTTTAATTTTATAAATTGTGCCTGATTACCTCAAATTTTATTTTTAACAAATTGTCTGTTTACAGAAGATGCTGGAAATTCATTTCTAAAACCATATTCTGGACATTAATATAGATGTGTCAAATTTATGACTGGTGTTTTTAAATATTTAGTTATTTGCTATTATTATATTAGAGAATCTCTAAAGTGCCTATGTAGCCTGAGGTCAGATTTTCATGTCCTTTCTATAGATGAAGGCATGAAAACTGAAGAAGGTAATTTGTTCAAGTCTTACAGCTAGTATAATTTAAAGTTGGTGTTTGAAAGTTGACAGTCCTCAAGACTCTATGCTCTTTAACCCATACCATCTTGCCTTATGACTAGATTTATTTGAATAACTGTTTTTTTTCTATGATGTACTCTTAAGAGGAATTCTGCTTTATACCCAATAGCCAATAGTCCAAGCTCATTCATTTGTGCCCACTGTAGATCAGAAATTAAAAAAAAGGGGGGGGGCTCTTAGTTAAATTTCTGAAAGGTGACAGAGCAAGTATAATACAGGCAGGAGTTAGGACACCCTCATTGGAATTTGGCTCCAGTCCCTGGTCATTGAGCTCTACTGGAGTTTAATATTGGAATTCCTTTGTTCCCAAATGACCCTTGATAGTGCTTCTTGTTAGGGATGACAAAATTGTAATGTAATAAAAAAGCCCATTACAGATTTTCAGAGATTATTTTGGAGCAATAAACAATTGGTCATGAATACTTGTGCTACGTAGAGGGGACTTTAAAGAAGCTTCTTGATGTTGTGTCTCACATATCCTCATTTTTAAAATTTATAGCAATACCTGTTTTACAGTGTGGTTTGGAAGTTTTAAATGATAACAGCTATTGTTACTGTTTGGCTTGACTTTGGGGGACTAAAGAATAGAATGAGACTCTTAGCTGGATTTAAAAAATAATTGTCTTAAGAATTGTTTTTACTATATTTAGAAGATCATAGTTTATATAGATCCTGGTTTGGAATATAAGAAACCATAGCTTCTCATTTATTCTTTTCAATGAATACTATTGTGATTAAGACATATGTGCTCCAGATTAGACTACCTGTGTCTTTTAGAGATACAATTCTTTTGTTCCTCATGACTTCTGTATTGAAGTTTAGCATACAAATAGTAACTTGTATAAATCGTAAATGTCCAACTTAATGATACATATCCACATCAAAATATAAAACAATACCAGCAACCTGGAAAATCCCCTTTGCTCCTTTTAGTTAGTACTCTCTACCCCTAAGAACTACTGATCTAAGTACAATTATGATAGGTAAGTTTTGTCTATTCCAGAACTTCATATAAGTGGAATTAGAATTAGCTACCATTCTGTGCTTGACTTCTTTTATTCAATATATGCCTGTGGGATTCATAAATGTAATTCCATTTAGTTATAGGTTGCTCATTTTCATTGCTATGTGCTATATAATTATTTTTTTAATGAGTAAGATATTAATCAGTGTGTTTAAAGAGAATATTTTTTTGAATACCATGTAAATATGATAATATAGTGTAGTAGCAGATTGAGAGTAAGTTTTAGATTCACAACATAAATTCAAATCCTATTTGGAACTGGACCACCTTGCTTTCTGAGCCCCAGGTTTCTCCCATTTGGTATCTTCTCTCTATGTCAAATGAGGTTAATAATCATACATACTTTCTTGGCTAGGAAGTAGTACATGAGCTAATGACATGAACTTCAACAGCTGGCTAAGATCAAATAATAGGAACTGATTTACCCTCTGCCTAAAACAATCAGTATTGCCATAATACCAGGACCAAACAAGAAATTATTATTTATGACTGTAGATGTCAGAATTATAAATTAAATTTTAGCAAAATAAAGTTTAACAGTGTAGTAAAAGGATAGCACGACCACATGGAGTTGATCCTAGGAATGGAAGGTTAGTTTATCATTCAACAATCATTTTAATTCACCATACTAGCATATTAAAAATAAAAATCCGGCCCTCCCTGGTGGCGCAGCGGGTTAAAGCACTGCACTAAGAAACTAAAGCCACTCCAGCATGAGTTTGATCCCCGCCTGCCCCGGAGGCGACCACATGGCGAGGCAGACCTCCCCTGACCCGCCCGCTGCTCCCCTCAGCAGTGTATTTCGTAGATCTGCCTGTTCTGCTCCCGGCTCTGTCTCTGGTGAATCCTCTCACCCTCCGCATCTCTGGCCTGTACCCCAGTTCTGTATGAATAAATAAATAAAATCTTTAAAAAAAAAAAATAAATAAAAATCCATGTGATTAACTTGGTAGATAAGAGGAAGCCATTTACAGAGTCAAACATTTATTCCTGATTAAGAAGTATGCACAAACATGTCATACATACAAGTCATTGTCTTCAGTGTGATAAAAGTAAGGAAAAATAGCAACTGAAATTATACTTAGTAGTCAAAGAGTGTTTATCTCCTAGACAAGGATATCTACTTTGGCAACTTCTATTCATTATTGATCTAAGGATTCTATGCAGTGCTATTAGGCCACTAAAAGAGGCATCCACATTATAATGGTAGAAGTAAAACTGTCATTCACAGATAACATGATCCGACTACTAGAACAAAGAAGTAATTTAAAATAAGGTTGCAAGAAACAAACTTTGCTTCTATACAACAGCAGAAACATTAGAAATTAAGATGAAATAATGGTACTTACAATAATATCAAAATATGAAATATGTAGGGATAATTCTGACAAAAGTTGTGAAAGATTGGGAAGAACACATTGAAAACCTCAAAACATAGTTGAGAGAAATTAAGCAAGATCTAAGTAAATGATGAGATGTACCATCTTTATAGATAACTAAATTCAAATTAAAATGTCATTTTTCCCCAAAGTGGTCTATAGACTTTAATCCATTTGTAATCAAACTTCCATGTAACTTTTTTGTAGAAATTGACAGGCTAATATTTAAAATCATGAAAATACAAAGAATTTGGAACACCCAAGGCAACTTTGACAAAGTGAAAAGTTGGAAGTTTGCCTGATTTAAAGATCTATAAAATTTTAGCAATTAAGAGAGCGTAGTGTTGATGACAAAAGAGATGAAGTGATCAATACAATTGGGTCCAAAAAGAAGACTCAAATGTTAAAGGCATTTTTAATGGCGTATGATAATCTTTTCAACAACCAGTACAGGAGTAGTTCTATACAGTATTCTTTGAATAATAAAAAGGAAACTATTGATACATGTTTTAACATACATGAATTTAAAATAATTGTGCTAAGTGAAACAAGCCAGAGAAAAGGAATGCATACTGGATAATTCTATTAACATAGAGTTAAGGTAAATACGAAGTAACATAGCAACAGAAAGCAGACCAGTAGTTACCTTGGGAACAAGAATAGGTGAGGAGGGGTGGTAAAGCAGTATTGCAAAGGAGGATATTTGACATGTTATCTTGACTGGTGATGGTTTCAAGGTTGATATGTATATCAAAACTTAATAAATTGACACTTTAAACATATGCAGCATATCTTGTAGAATACTACTTAGCAACAAAAAGGACCAAGCCTTGGCTGTATGCCTCTCTGGATGAACCTCTAAAAACATTATGCCAGGTGAAAGAAATATAGAAACCACATCCTATGTGATACCACTGATATGCAATATCCTGAAAAGGCAAAATTATAAAGAGAAAACATTGTGATTGCTTGATGTGGAAATAGATATTAGCAATAAATGCATTAGAGACCATATTAGGGTGATGAAATGTTTTAAAACTGATTTGTGGTGATAGAGGCACAACTTCATAAACTTAATAAAAAAATTACTGTTTTGTACAATAGAAAATTATGAATAATATATGTAAGTGTGACTTAACATGTATAACATGTCAAGTGTATATCAAAAAGTTATTTAGAAAGTAACAAGAATCTTTAAAAATCTAATAGCATATAACTATTCCATATATTTTATTTACTATAATGATCAAAGGTAACTTGTTTTGTTGACAGATTTTAAATTACTATATAGATCTTCCTTAAAATTTTGCAATTTCCTTATGTGATGTTATTCTTATACAGCTAGTAATACTATAGGGGTGTTTTACTTTGTCTTGTTTGTATGATGAAAGAATTGAATTTAGAAAAAGTGTACAGATGAATGAACACTTATGCTGCCAACATCATGTATGCCTGACAGGGGCTATTTTCACTTTGGATGAGAGGAGAGTATCCAGAAGCTGGGGACAACAAACTACAGTCTACAGGTTAAATCCAGTTTGTGTTTGCATAGCTTATAAGCTAAGAGCAATCTTTGCAGTTTTAAAGGGTTTTTAAAAGAAAGGAAAACAAATAATTTTCTACAAAGATTATATGTTGTCTTCAAAGGCTAAAATATTTACTGCTGGGCTCTCTAGAGAAAAACCTTGCTGACCCTGAATCTACAAAGATATGTTCTGAGAGAACAAAATGCCTTCATTTTATATTTGTTTGCCAAGTTAAATCACCTTGAGGTCCATCGGTATGATTTTGTGGCATCTACACTGCAATTTCTTCAAGATCCAGTCCTAATATTGATGTAGTATGAACCTGACAAAGTAGTTTAAGTTGGTTTTCCTTC